AAGTTGCCAAGGCTGGAGACCCCTGTTCTAGTCCAACCCCCTGCTCAATCTGGCAAGAGATTTCCAAAAAGAAGAAGTGGTCAGATCGAAAATAAGAGCCGTCACTCGATCTGAGAAATTACTCCACGCTGATCTGCCTGTCCGTTGCAGAAGAACCGGCTGAAGAACCAGGTTCCGGATCCGGAGGTTGCGCAGCTTCCAAGTCGGAGAGGGCTGATTCTTCTCAGCCCTTCCCCAAGAGGCTTCTTGTGTGTGTGGGGGGGCTCTTTGGCTGTTCTCTCCCCTTTTGTGCTGGAGAGAGACCACCAGCCCACGGGGGGGGGGCTCCCCAGGGTCCCTCTTGTCTCAGAGAGATCTGGTGGGGAGGGGGGGAATCCAGATCTCCTGGGGAGCCTGCAGGGAGTTGAGCGTTGAGGCTTGCCAGAGTCCTCTCCTGACCCGGCTTCACCCACGCTCAGGACCCAACCTGTTCCTCAGGTTTGCAGGCGAGCCTGTTTGCTCAGGGCCTCAGCCGGATGAAACGTCGGATCACATTTCCTCGGATCGTCCCGGCCAGCTTGGGACCCACCCTGAGCCACTCCGCCTCGCCCTCCTTTCCCCCAGGGTCACCGTTACCTTGGGGATGACTTGCCAGCACGGCGTTCCGCCCGGCTCCTGCAAAGCCACCTTTTTGGCCAACGTGGGCAGTTTTAAGGGCGTCTGGCTCACCTCTAGCGGTGTGACAACACACACAGGGCTGTGCGAGGTGTTGGGGAAGCTGTGGCTTCTCTTAGGGCAGTGATGGCGAATCTTTTAGAGACCGAGTGCCCAAAAACCACCCCCTACCTCCGTCCCTGCTCCGCCCTGCCCACTGGGCCACCCACCACCTCCAGGGCCCGCCACAGATCACCCAGGCAGCCCAGCAGCACCATGGCGGCCACGCCCTCTGCCCACGCCCCGCAGCCGCGTGCGACGGGGCGCAAGGGCAGAGTCTTGTCCCCGCTGCCCGGCTACCATGTCCTTGGTTGCGCTGCTTCGCGTGGGCCGACTCTCCATGTCCGCTGCCCGGCTACCATGTCCTTGGTTGCGCTGCTTCGCGTGGGCAACTCTCCTCCGGGGGGGCTGCTGGTGAGGAGGGGGCCGTGGGAGGAGGCGGGGCTGGGGAGACGGTGCGTGTGCCCACAGAGAGGGCTCCAAGTGCCGCCTCTGGCACCCGTGCCATAGGTTCGCCACCACTGTCTTAGGGTTTTCCCATGGACACCTGGAACGTCCATTTTGGCCCCCACATTACGAAAAAGATGCTGAGACTTTGGAAAAAGTGCAGAGAAGAGCAACTAAGAGGATCCAAGACCTGGAGACTAAAAGATAGGAAGAACGGTTGCAAGGATTTGGGTTTAGCTAGTCTAGAGAAAAGAAGAACTAGAGGGGGGGGGGACACGATAGCATCAATGACTTAGATGAGGGAATAGAAGGGGAACTCATCAGATTTGCAGATGACACCAAACTGGCAGGTGTAGCCAACACCCAGAAGACAAACTCAGGATCCAAAAAGATCTTGACCAACTTGAACAATGGGCCCTTTCCAACAAAATGAGTTTCAAAGTAGAGAAAAGCAAAGTTTTACATTTAGGCAGGAAAAACCAAAGGTGCAAGTACAGATTGGGTGAGACCTGGCTTAAAAACTGCAACTGTGAGATGGACCTTGGAGTCCTAGTGGACAACCCCTTAAACACGAGCCAGCCGTGTGCGACAGCAGCCAAAAAAGCTAACACAATCCTGTGTTGTATAAACAGAGGCTTAGAATCAAGATCACGCAAAGTATTAGTACCGCTTTATAAAATCCTCGTGAGGCCACACCTGGAAAACTGCAGCCAATTTTGGTCACCCTATCACAAAAAAGATGTTGAGACTTTGGAAAAAGTGCAGAGAAGAGCAACTAGGATGATTAAAGGCCTGGAGACTAAAACATACGAAGAACGGTTGCAGGACTTGGGAATGGCCAGTCTGGAGAAAAGGGCCAGGGAGGACATGAGAGCAGAATTCCAGTATTTGAGGGGCTGCCACAAAGAAGAAGGGGGTCAACTTTTTTTTCCCCAAAGCACCTGAAGGCAAGACAAGAAACAACAGATGGAAACTCATCCAGGAGAGAAGCAACCTGGAATTAAGGAGAAACTTCCTGACAATAAGAACAATTAACCAGTGGAACTCCTTGCCACCAGAAGTTGTGGGTGATCCATCACTGGAGGTTTTTAAGAAGAGACTGGACAGCCATCTGTCTGAAATGGTATAGAGTCTCCTGCTTGAGCAGGGGGCTGGACTAGAAGACCTCCAAGGTCCCTTCCAGCTCTATTCTGATTGATCGATCCTACGCTGTGTTTGATGCAAAGTGGTGGTCCACAAGATCTGGGGAGGGGGGGGCTTCTAGATGCAGCTTTGCATCCCTCTATCTATGGCAGGGGTAGGCAAGCTTGGCTCTTTTATGACTCGTGGACTTCAACTCCCAGAATTCCTGAGCCAGCTATGCTGGCTCAGGAATTCTGGGAGTTGAAGTCCACGAGTCATAAAAGAGCCAAGCTTGCCTACCCCTGGTCTATGGAGATTCTCCACCACCACACCTGGGTTGTGGTTGTCCCAAAGGGGCTTTTCCAAAAGGCAACTGGACTTTCTTGTTTTTTTTCCCCTTTGAAATCGTTTTGCTTCTTCAGTTCTTCATGCGAAGAACGTCTGGATGGAGAAGCTTCTTGGTCGAGGAGCGAAACGTTTTCAAAGAAAAACAAACAAATATGCCCAGTGCATCCCACAAGGTAGCCCCCCCAGCCTGGTCTGCTGCTTATTGAATAGCATCTCCCAGAAGTCCAGCAAGACCAGGGGGATTCTGGGAGATGAAGTTCAGCTTCTCTGCAGGGCATCTGCTCGCGATCCCGGGACTCTGCGACCGTCATAAATGTGCGTCGGTTGCCAACTGTCTGGATTTTGATCAGGTGACCCGTGGGGGACGCTGCAACCGTCGTAAGTGTGAGAAATAATCATATGTCCCTTTTTTTCAGTGTCGTCGTAACGTTGAACGGTCACTAAAAGAACGGTTGTAAGTTGAGGACCACCTGTCCAGTACAATACAATAATAAAGTAAATAAGGTAAAAAACAATCTAAATCTGAATCTTAAATCTAAATCTAAATCATCTAAATCTAAATCTAAATCTAAATCTAAATCTAAATCAATCTAAATCTAAATCAATCTAAATCTAAATTTAAATTTAAATTTAAATCTAAATCTAAATCTAAATCTAAATCATCTAAATTAAATTTAAATAATCTAAATCTAAATCTAAATCTAAATAATCTAGATGTAAATATAAATATAAATTAAATAAATATAAATATAAATATAAATATAAATATAAATATAAATATAAATATAAATATAAATATAAATATAAATATAAATATAAATATAATGCACCCTTTGGGCCAAGATGGGGTGGAGCTGCTGCAAGCAACTGGCAGTGCCCAGATGCCACCTGTTCTGGAAAGGGATCCTAGGGGTTAGAGCATCAGGAAGTGCACTTTTGGGGGGGCGTTCAGGACGGAGGGGCATCCTGGCCAGGCCTTTTGGCTTCGGGCTGAGCCTTTGCATCCCTCCTCTTGGCTGCCCTGCCCCTTCCTCCGGGTGCAAGTGAGGGCGAGGCAGCCAGCCAGCCCTTCCCTCCCTCCCTCCCTCCTCTCTGCCACCTGGGCACGCTGCCCACGGTTGGCAGGCAGAGCCTCGGTGGGACAGCCAGTTTCGGCTTTGTTCCCGCGTCGTTGTGGGTCTGGCGGTGCAAGGGCCAGGTCCTTTCAGCCGCCTGCACAATGCCCGGCTTTCTTCCAGCCAGTCTCCTCCCTCCGGCCGGCCCCGGGTTAAAAGGAGCAGCGGCCTCCCCTCCCTGCCCCTGTGGGAGCAGCTGCTGGGCTGGCCTGGGATCCCGGTGGGTCCCTCCTTCGGCTGGGGGGGGGGGGAGGGAGGCCTTGAGCCCAAGGCTTGGAGAGGAGGGGGCTGTCTCGGAGCTGGGCTCCCCCCTTGCTTGGGTTTGAGCCAGCCCCCCCCCTCGCAAAACTCCCAGCAACTTGGGAAGGGAGAGAGTTGGGCCACCTGTGCGGTGGATCCTGGCTTCCCTCCCCCAGCCGGGATCCCGAGCAGCGGATCTCTTTCCCCTGCAGCAGCTGAAGCCATTGGGGCCGATGCTGAGGCTTCGCTTTGCCAGGGTGGTCCTGAGCGCCGGGGACTGGGCAAGGGGGCCACTCTGCTGGGGGGTCCCCTTGCTCAGCCCCGAACCTCCTTTGCATTGCAGGGCGCTGCGGCGGCAGACGAAGCAGCCGGGGATGGCGGACAGCCGGGCAGTGCCGAAGGACAGGGTCCTGACCCTGGAGTCCATGAACCCCCACGTCCGGAAGGTGGAGTACGCCGTGCGGGGGCCCATCGTTGCCCGGGCCAACCAGCTGCAGAAGGAGCTGAAGCAGGTAAGCCGGGCAACTGACTGGATCACGTGTCTGTTCGCGAGTCCGAAAGTTGGCTTAGTGGCTGGCTTGCTGTATTAGTTTTTCCTTTGCTTTGCTTTGCTTTTTAGCTTAGTGTTTAGTTTAGTCTAGTTTTTAATTTAGTTTACTTTAGGGTTTAAATTTATATCCCGCCCATCACACTGTCTACCCAAGATGAGAGCGTGGGCAGCTTCCTTCAACGCGGGCGGTTTTGTCTTGACTCTCCTGGAATACAGGCGGTCCCCAACTTACGACAGTTCGTTTTAGTGACCGTTACGACGGCGCTGAAAAAAGGGACTTACGTTTGTTTTTCCCACTTAATGACCGTTGCAGCATCCTCTGTGGTCACGTGATCAAATTTGGGACGCTTGGTAACCGACTCATATTTACGACGGTCGCAGCGTCCCCTGGGGGGGGGGTCGCGTGACCCCTTTTGCGACCTGGGAAAGTCGGATTCACTTAACAACCGGGTTACTCATTTAACAACTGCAGTGATTCACTTACCAGCTGCGGCAGGAAAGGTCATAAAACAGGGCACTGAGCACCTGTCTTGCTTAGTAACAAAAAAGTGGGGCTCAGTTGCGGTCGTAAGCCGAGGACTGCCTGTAAATACGCCCTATTCTCCTTAATGCCCCCTGATCAAACGAAAGGAAACGGGAGCTGGGAGCCCCAGAGGGGAGAAGGGGGGTGAACTTCTGGAATGAAGCCGGGATGCTGACCTGGGTCTGGTGAGGGGCAAGCTGCAAGAGGTGAGGGAGGTGAGTTTAGGGGGCTTTGCATAAAGACCCTCTCAGATTATGGGATGTCGGTATTGAAGCGGCCCCCTGGGAAGAAGGGCGGTCTTCTTCCTGGGCGTCAGCGCCGGTGGTGGGTGGGATCCAGAGAAGACCCCTGTCCAGGAGAAACCCCTCAAGGTGGGACTCAGGGTGGGTCTCAGGGACTTCCAGGGTAGATCACTTCTCCTGCCCCAGGTGGATCTGGAAGGATCCTTCCTAAGCCAGCGGTTCTCAACCTATGGGTCGCGACCCCATTTGGGGTCGATCGACCATTTCACGGGGGTCGCCAAGCAAGGCTGTCCGCCATTTTTTCCCCTTTTTCGGCGGGTGCCTTACCTCCCTTGGGCTGGGCCAGCTGGTGGTCGGCCTGCTCCGTCTCTGCCGCTTGCCAGCTACGCCTCGGCCGGCGCAGCGGGCGGAACCACGCATGCGCGGCGCTCCTGGGCAGGGAAAGTCCTCGACTTACGACCGGTTGGGTAGTCCTCGACTTACGACCGGTTTAGTCCTCGACTTACGACCGGTTGGGGGTCGCGGCATTAAAAAGGTTGAGAACCACTGTTCCTAAGCCTTTCTGTTTGCTCAGCCCCCAGTTGACCTGCTGGGCTCTTCTTGATGACCTCTTGACCTCATTGCGGATGACTCCACTTCCTAGGCTGACCTAGACTTGGAGGCTGTTGGGGGCCTGGTTTCCTCTGAGTCAGGCTGGCTGGGATGAGCCTGGCCTGACCCCTCGGAGCAGCTGAAGGCTCCGAGGTACCAGGTTGATGGGTCCTGGGCGATTGCTCCAGCATCTCTGACCATCCAGATATTCAGGGACTACAATTCCCATTATTATACGGGCAACTTCACCCAGGAGTGTTCATACACTAGATGGGTCCAGCGTTAGTACCGCTTTATACTGCACTGGTAAAGCCACACTTGGAATCCTGCATCCAGTTTTGGTCACCACGATGTAAAAAAGATGCTGAGACTCTAGGAAGAGTGCAGAGAAGAGCAACAGAGATGATTAGGGGACTGGAGGCTAAAACATATAAGGAACGGTTGCTGGAATTGGGGATGTCTAGTTTAACGAAGAGAAGGACGAGGGGGGACAGGATAGCAGCGTTCCAATATCTCAGGGGCTGCCCCAAAGAAGAGGGAGTCAAGCTCTTCTCCAAAGCGCCTGAAGGCAGGACAAGAAGCAATGGATGGAAACTAATCAAGGAGAGAAGCAACTTAGAACTAAGGAGAAACTTCCTGACAATGAGAACAATTAACCAGTGGAACAGCCTGCCTCCAGAAGCGGTGAATGCTCCAACACTGGAAGTTTTTAAGAAGAGACTGGACAGCCATTTGTCCGAAATGGTATAGGGTTTCTGGCCTGAGCAGGGGGTTGGACTCGATGACCTCCAAGGTCCCTTCCAACTCTGCTATACTGTTAAATATTTCACGTCTGACTTGCCCATTCTTTGCGCTCCAATCCTTTTGCCATGCAAGTATAAACTTTACAAATTGTACCCTGAATGTTTATCTTTGCCTTACTGTGTGACATATCATCCAGATGGAAGCTATTGTTGATTAAATCTACTTCTGTTATGTATCTATGTAGTAGTGTTCCAATATTTGAGGAGCTCCTATAAAGATGGGAGAGTCAACTTATTCTCCAAAGCGCCTGAAGGCAGGACGAGAAGCAACGGGTGGAAACTCATCAAGGAGAGAAGCAACCTAGAACTAAGGAGAAACTTCCCGACAGTGAGAACAATTAACCAGTGGAACCACCTGCCTCCAGAAGCGGTGAATGCTCCAACACTGGAAGTTTTTAAGAAGAGACCGGACAGCCATCTGACTGGGATGGTATAGTGCTGGGGAATTCTCCACAAGCCTTAAAGTTCCCAAGGTTGAACATTCCTGGGATAGAGTCTCCTGCTTGAGCGGTGGGGGTGCGGGTGTGGGGTTGGACTAGAAGACCTCCAAGGTCCCTTCCAACTCTGTTATACTGTTCCTGGTGCCTCTCCCTGCAGAGGAATGATCTGGCAAGTCCCTGTGAGGGGAGGGCAGTCTTGGCGCCCCCCCCCCGGGAAATCAATGCCCAAGGAACTGCCTTAACTTTTAGGCAAATACCGTGCAATCATTTTCGAGGCGATAAGGAGGCAGGCAAAGGCGCCCAAGGACGGCGGGCTGGGTGAAGCTGACCTTGAGGTTCTCTAGGTTTCTCCCCCACGTCAGAGCCAGGTGGGAAAGGAAGTCAGAATAACAGAAGAACAGACTCAGAAGGGACCTTGGAGGTCTTCTAGTCCAACCCCCTGCTCAGGCAGGAGATCCTAGGCCAGGGGTAGGCAACCTCGGCTCTTTTATGACTCGTGGACTTCAACTCCCAGAATTCCTGAGCCAGCATGGGGGAACTATGCCCCCCTTGATGACTGGTGGACTTCAACTCCCAGAATTCCTGAGCCAGCCACGCTGAAGGGAAAGGGAGAGGTTTCCAAGCTGAGCCAGGCTGGCTCAGGAATTCTGGGAGTTGAAGTCCACCAGTCATCAAGGGGGGCATAGTTCCCCCATGCTGGCTCAGGAATTCTGGGAGTTGAAGTCCACGAGTCATAAAAGGGCCCAGGTTGCCTACCCCTGTCCTATGCCATTACAGAAAAATGGCTGTCCAGTCTCTTCTTAAAACCTTTCAATGTTGGAGAAGGGAGGGAAGGAGGGAGGGAGGGAGGAAGGAAGGAAGGAAGGAAGGAAGGAAAGAAGGAAGGAAGGAAGGAAAAAGAATAACAGAGTTGGAAGGGACCTTGGAGGTCTTCTAGTCCAACCTGCTCAGGCAGGAGATCCTATGCCATTACAGACAATCTCTTCTTAAAAACCTCCAGTGTTGGAGCATTCACAACTTCTGGTGGCAAGCTGTTCCACTGGTTAATTGTCCTCACTGTCAGGAAGTTTCTCCTTAGTTACAGGTTGCTTCTCTCCTTGATGAGTTTCCATTGTTGCTTCTTGTCCTGCCTTCAGGCACTTTGGAAAATAAGTGGACGTCCTCTTCTTTGTGGCAGCCCCTCAGATATTGGGGAGGGGGCAACACTGCCAACTTTAAGACTTGTGGACTGCAACTCCCAGAATTCCCCAGCCAGCAAAACTGGAATTCCCCAGCACAGGTAGTCCTCAACGTAAGTCCACAACTGAGCCCAAAATTTCCGTTGCTAAGCAAGACGGCCGTTAAGGGAGTTTGGGCCCATTTGACCCCCTTTCTTGCCACAGAATCACGGCAGTTGTTAAGTTGCCACACGGTCGTTAAATGAATCCGGCCTCTCCCCTTGGCTTCGCTTGCCAGGAGGTCGCAGAAGGGGATCATGTGACCCCCCAGACCACTGAGACCGTCGTAAGTACGAGTCGGTGGCCAGGCGTCCGAATTTTGACGACGTGACCCTGGGGACGTACGTGTGGGAAACCGCCGTAGGTCACTTTTTCCCATCCCGTTGTAACTTCAAACGGTCACTAAATGAACTGTCGTAAGCCGAGGACCGACAGTACAGGGAAATGGCAATAAAAGTGACCTCCATCTTGAAAATATGAAATGAACCATGATCATATAGCCTTTGATTAATTATTGTTATTTATAAATATTTTGATATATAATTTATATATATAGTTTATAGTTAAGTTGATTATTGTATATTAGAGTTACAGTAAGTTTATATTATGAATGGGTTGTTTGGGTTAGACTTGGATTATTATGTGATTATTCCTGTACTCAGTTCTGGGAATTCCAGGAGGGGGGGAGGTGAGAAGGGGTTTAGGGGATAGAAATTATAAAAATTGATGTATTTATATATTATAGGTAAATAATGGAATTGTATTAAAAAGAGGAAATAATAATAATAATAATAATAATAATAATAATAATAATAATAATAATAATAATAGTAGTAAAGTTGGAAGGGACCTTGAAGGTCATCTAGTCCAACCCCCTGCTCAGGCAGGAAACCCTACACCATTTCAGACAAATGGCTGTCCAGTCTCTTCTTAAAAACTTCCAGTGTTGGAGCATTCACCGCTTCTGGAGGCAGGTTGTTCCACTGGTTAAATGGTACCCCAAACTGCTCGGCTGGTACCCCAAACTGCACTCGAAGAGGTGGCTAAGAAGGGAGATGGGATGTAGAGAGGTGGAAAGGAGGAAAGAGGAGAGGTTGTGGGTTTAGGGGAGGAAGGAAGAGGAAAGTGAATGAGGGTGAATGCAAGGCGGGGACTGCCGAGCGTCTCCGAACACGTATTGAGTAGGATTATCTTTTTTGCTTGTGTTTTAAGTAAATGCATCATATTGGTATTGTTTGTTGTTTAATTTGAAAAATTAATAAAAATTTTATATATATATATATAAAAAGTGACCTCCATCTTCATCCCTTCCTTTGCCAGGGGGTCAAGAAGCCCTTCGCGGAAGTGATTGCAGCCAACATTGGGGACGCGCAAGCTATGGGGCAGAAGCCCATCACTTTTGTGCGCCAGGTATGTCCAGGGGGCAGGGGGGGACGGGAGAGACCCTCCCCTGGTCAGGCTTATCCCCGTTTGCCGGGGGTCCCTCAGACTGACCCAGACAGCCTTGGTATCCGGAACAGAGGGACTCTGAGCCTGTGCAGAGAGCCCACGAATACCTCGGGTGGGAGACCTGGGAGGGGGGGGGAAGTGGGGGGGATGGCGAGGCGGGGGGAGGCTGCAGCATCACCCTAATTGCCCCCCCCACAGGTCAGCGCCCTCTGCATGTACCCCGAACTCCTGAATTCCCCCGATTTTCCTGAAGACGCAAAACAGAAAGCCCGGCGACTCCTGGCCGCGTGCGGAGGGCAGAGCATTGGTGAGTGTTTGGACATCCCTGGGGGGGGTCCCTCCTTCCTTCCCCCCTTAAAAGGGGTCCTAGGAAGACCCACCTGGGCAGGAGCCTCACCTGAGCCCCAGGAAGAGCCGGACCCCCCAGTTTCGTCCTTCCAAACAAACTTTCCATGGAGGTATAAGTAAGTCCTTGCTTTACGTCCAACAACGGAGCCCAAATTTCCATCCAGGGGTTCAGTGAGTTTTCCCCCGTTCTACCACCTTTCTGGCCCCGGTTGTCGAGTGAACCCCTGCATGTTGTTAAGCGAGGAACACGGTTGTTAAGTGAAACCGGATTCCCCATTATTGGAAGGCCACAAAAAGGGGATTTCGCATGACCCCACGAGGCTGTAACGCGTCATAAGTGTGAGTCGGTGGCCGAGCGTCGGAATTTTGATCGTGGGACGGGTGAGGAGGCTGCAACGGTTGTTAAGTGGGGAAAACGGTCATAAATCCCCCTCAGGGCCGTTGTAACTTTGAACGGTCACTAAAGGAGCTGTTGGTAAATTGAGGAAAGGTCCAGATTTCAGCAGGCTGGTCAAGGTGGACCAGATGATCTCCTGGGTGACCTGGGGCGGGGGTCTCCAACCCTGGCCACTGTAAGACTTGTGGACTTCAACTCCCAGAATTCCCCAGCCAGCATGCGCTGGCTGGGGAATTCTGGGAGTTGAAGTCCACAAGTCTTACAGTGGCCAGGATTGGAGACCCCCGCTCTGGAGCAAAGAACGATGCCTCTTTCAGATGGGGAGGGGGCTTCCCCTGGCCCCTCTATACGGTGGGGGGCATGCAAAGGCACCGGCTGTGGGCGGCCCGGTTGGGTTGCTCTGGATTAAGCATCTTCTGGAGACCTGGGGGTGGGTGGGTGGGTGGCTAGACTGGACCCCAAGCCTCGGACCCTCCTCTTTGCAAGGGGTGTGAGGGAGGGCGAGGAGGGGTGAGGGACCCCCACAGGCATCACGTGAAATCCCAGCAATTAGGCCAGGATGACGTTGGGGCATTATTGGGGGGGCTCCCCAGGCCCAGTGGCCTTGAGCATGGCGTGCCCCCCCACCCCCCAGAGTTAACTTATATAAAAGATTTATAGGCTGCCCAGAGTTTTTAAGAAGAGACTGGACAGCCATTTGTCTGAAATGGTATAGGGTTCCTACCTGAGCAGGGGGCTGGACTTGATGACCTCCAAGGTCCCTTCCAACTTCATTATTATTATTATTATTATTATTATTATTATTATTATTATTATTATTATTATTATTATTATTATTATTAAGAATAAGAAATAATAAATAGACCAGTCTGAGCTGCAGATCCTCCTCCTCCTCCTCCTCCTCCTCCTCCTCGCCCCCCACCCATTTTCTCTTCCTGCCTTCTCCCCCCATCAGGGGCCTACAGTGCCAGTCCTGGGATCGAGCTCATCCGACAGGATGTGGCTGCCTTCATCCAACGCCGAGATGGGGGGATCCCCTCCAACCCGGAGAACATCTACCTGTCGACGGGGGCCAGCAGTGCCGTGGTGGTAAGGAGCCCAAGCCCGGGGGAGCCACTGGGGAAAGGGGGGGG